CTATACAATAATGTAGGCTAAAAATCGACCGAAGTCCAGAAAAGGTGTGCAGAGATTTAACTGAAAAAAGTAAAATAACAAAAATACCGAACACCAAGGAACATTGAAAACGGAAAGTCCTTTATCAAATGACAAAATCAAAAGCTCAAATACATCAAACGAATGTAAAACAACGGTCATTATCCTGACTCGGAACAGGCATTTCCTTATGTAGAAAATGGTGGATTAAACCTGGTTTTATAGCTAGCTAAACCTCTCACTTGTATGACAGTCGCATAGAATTCCATTATATTGACAACAATGTGTGAGTAAAACAAATAAACATAATAGGTAAAAATGTCAAAAATTGGGGTACAGCAGGCAACTTTGTGATATAATCTTAATCACTATAACAAATAACTATTTCAACAAAGAAAAACAGTCCTGTTGATATGACATCATGCGATCGTGCGCTGTAATTCATAAACTGTTATCACAGAGATATACCTCGCCTTTTTGTAATTTTGATAATGCAAATGTTGAAATTAAAATAGCAATACTTTATCATGTAAGTTATGCAAATATTCAAAGTCGATGAACCATGACTGAAGGTACATGGCTAAACAATCTCAATGGAATGAGATGTGCCAATGCTAATACAACTGCATACCAAATACCATTGACTTATTATAAGTCGATCCCTTTAAACAAACCTGAACACCAACATTAACTTGTAAACTATGTAAAAGTTTCAAAGTCAATGAACCATTATCAGAGTTGGGGCTTTATAATCTCCATGGAAACGATACTTGCAAATGCCAAAAAATTTGCATACCAAATATCATTGACTTAACATTAGCAGTTCATCTTAAACTGATCTAATCACAAACTAATACATGTAAACTAAGCAAAAGTTTCAAAGTAAATAGACAATGACTGAGGGGGCGGGGCCAAATATTCTCCATGGAAATGAGATGCGCTAATGCTTATACAACTGAACACCAATTAACATTGGCCTACCACTAATGGTTCCCCTTGAACTGACCTAATCACAAACTAATACATGTTAACTTAGCAAAATTTTCAAAGTCTATAGACAATGACTAAAGGGGCAGAGCCAAATAATCTCCATGGAAATGAGATATGCCAATGCTTATACAACTGCATACCAAATATCATTGACCTACCACTAGTGGTTCCCCATAAATTGACCTTATCACAAACTAATACATGTAAACTATGAAAAGTTTCAAAGTCAATAGACCTTGACTGAGGGGGCGGGGCCAAATAATCTCCATAGTAATGAGATGTGCAAATGCTAACACAACTGCATACCGAATATCATTGACCTACCACTAGTGGTTCATCATGAACTAGACCTAATCACAAACTAATACATTGTTGACGCCGTCGCCGCCGCCGTCGCCGACGCCGGAAACAGCATACCTATGTCTCGCTTTTTGACTCCGTCAAGGCGAGACAAAAACTATAAGTCAGTGAATGAATGTTATCCACAAAGGACAAAAATATTATATTATAACATTTATTGAAAGATGTATTTATTTTTACAGCTAAATCGAAAGATTTAAAAGTAAACCCTGCCATGCATTATAAATAACCGTTGTAATCATTTTCAATTTCCATGAGTCTCTTTATTTGTGATAAATGTGTTCAAACCTTTTACCAAATTCTGATATTTATATACCTGGAAAGAATAATCAACAATAGGAGAGAAAAGGTCGTCCCGTTTGTCATTAAATACCGCAAAAAGATTATCATAAGAAATTATTATATCACAATGACCATTATTTGAGTTGGATAGAGTATGTTAGAATTTTTGTGTTCGATACTGACTTTATCACGGTAAAATATCGGGTGACCCGAAAGCCTCTTATAACGCGATTACGTCAAATCGAAAACAAAAAAAACTATGAATAGTTGTCTCATTGGTAGTCATACCACATATATTAATTTTCATATGGTACAGGTAGTCCCACAAGAGTTATCGAATGTGTGTACATTAATTATTTTTGTTGCATCATCTCTGAAGCAATTGTGGCACCTTTCAGGTAACTATGATGTGTTGCGTTTGAATATGAATTGTAACACTTTTTACGGATTAACATATTTAACAAATTTTTCTCAATACATACAAAAACACATCGAAGCAGCACCAGATCATTTAACATTTCAACTTATAGATGAAAACTTAGATTGATATAGTAAGGTGAGCAATAAAACACCCTGCGGATGTCGACATAAATTCGACGAAATTCAATCAGATTCAAATTGTCCGTACATGTGCACACCATTCTGACAATACCGCTTTTAAGAAGCCACACAAATTTAATTGAAACAATGACAAAATTGCATTCACAAAAACACCCGTGCTATCTGCTGAAAAAAATCACGTGCTGTATTTGTGAAAAGGAAAGTAGATCCCTGCGCGATGCTCTCTCACAAATATCATTGCTAAAATAGACAATCCCCCCCCGAAAATTTTTTTAAGAAACGCACACACAGTGGCACCCATTGATACAAAATATAAATAATTTGGCACTACTAAGGCTACCTCAAGTTTAACTTAGTTTGTGGCATGATTTTTGAATGAATAAAATTCTATAGCGTCCAAAGTGTAAAAAAATTGGACAGTTTTCGACTTTTATTCAACTATAAAAGTTCCATAACTGCGCACTGTCAAATCAGATATATATAAAAAACAAAAGAGAGCTTATTTCAAAAGATATAATCGGTAAACAAACCACCAAAGTTTCACGAAAACTGCTTAAAGCGTTTTTGAGTTATTGTCAGAAAATTGGAAATTCTCCCCTTTTTATGAGTAAAGTCCCAGTACTCAAAAACGTAAAATCAGAAATTTTCAAAAATAAGAAGGGAACTTATTTCAATATATATTAACAATTCAGCATAGCTTCATGAAATTGCTCAATGCATTTTTGGGTTATAGTCAGAAAACTGGAAAATCAACCATTTTTTATAAATAAAATCCCAAAACTCGAAAACGTAAAATGTAGAATATATGAAAATCGAAAGGAGGCTTACGTCAATAGATATAACCAATTCACCAAAATTTCATGAAAATTTGTGGCTTTTTTTTTAGTCCTAAGTGTTGACGACGGACGGACAGACGGTCAATGGTATACAATAATACGTCCCGTAAACAGGCGTATAAAAACAAACATCAGTATTAATTAGCAAACAACTAATTGCTTTATACATGTATAAATAAGAAGTTGTATATGTGGTATGATTACCAATGAGACCACTCGCCACCAGAGACTAAATGACATAGAAATTAACAACTAAATGTCACCATATGTCCTCCAACAGTGAGCAAAACCCATACTGCATATATATATAGCAAGCTATAAAAGTCATCGAAAGGACATATTTAAAACAATTCAAACGAGAAAACTAATGGCCTGGTTTAGGTACAAAACAATAAACGAAAACAAAATATGATATACAGCAACAAACGTCAACCACTGAGTTACATGCTCCTGACTTTGGACAGACGCATACATAATGTGACGGGGTTAAACATATTTGCTGGCGTCGAATCCTCCCGCTAACATGGGACAGTGGCGAACAGCACGACAGTAGAACAAACTATTAAGATACATAATTTTTTTTATTAGATGTTATTAGCTTTGAACTAGCTGTCAGTAACTGCGAGTACTCTCAGATCTGTACTTAGTGTCCTTTTTGTTGTTAACGATGAGGGATGGATAAATACCCTGCCACAAACGGTCTGTGTATTTGTTTGATGTTTTTCTGCTTTGTATCTATCTGATGAGTTGAGCCTTTTTCAACTGATTTTCATAGTTTGTCTTAAGTTGTGCTGTCCCAGGTTAGGGGGAGGGTTGAGCGCTCACAAACATGTTTAACCCCGCCATATTCTTTATGTGCCTGTCCCAAGTCAGGAGTCTGTAGTTCAGTGGTTGACGTTGGTTCATGTCTGTCATATTTGTTTTTCGTAAATTGTTTTGTAATAAATGAGGCCGTTAGCTTCCTCAATTGAGTTGTTTCATATTTTTCATGTCGGGGCCTTTTATAGCCGACTATACGGTTTGTGTTTTCTCATTGTTGAAGGCCGTACGGTTGCCTATAATTGCTTACATCAACTTTGGTGGATAGTTGTCTCTTTGGCAATCATACCTCATCTCCTTATTTTTATATAAAAATCAGTTGAAAAGGCTTAACTCATCAGATCGATACAAAGCACATAAAAACCCTAGAACAAACACAAAACACACAAAGTACAGATATGAAAGTACTCGCAGTTACTGAAAGCTAGTTTAAAGCCAACAATAACAACTAATAAAAAATTATGTGTCTAAGACATAAATATCAATCATATCCAACATACAATGCATTAAGTGTTAAGACGCAAAGAAGTCATGGACGAACATGACCATGTGCAATGCCAAAATATAGGTATCGACATATTTAAGAACCGTGAATAATCATATGTGTAGAACAATAATATTTAGATCGGTTTAAATTTACCGATAACAAAATCAATATTTATTTCGATAAAACAATATTCAAGATCTAATCACAATGTTGAATTGGTAACATTTTAGAATAAGTTTATTTAAAGGATTGATCAGTTGAAGCGGATCGTATCTAGATTTACGGGCTCGGTAAACAACATCACCGTAAAATTTAGGATGTGCTGTCCCGTTTGTAATAAGTCTTCTACAGGTTTTAATGTACAATGCAAGTTTTGTAACTAAATAAGGATTTAACAGAACTGTAACAAATATAAACACATACTTGTTTTTATCGAAAGAACAGTTTACTAATAAAAAAAATTGTGTGTGATAACATTTTGTGGTAGAATAATCAGACAGACAAGAGAATTCATAAATAAAATAATAAATAATAAAACTTTACTGCTAAGAAACGTAGTATTCAAGATTTTCAAAAACTTTCTGAGGCTTCAGGAAACAGTTTAACCAGCAACAAATCTTTTTAAATATCGATATTAAAAATCAAACCTTTGGTGCTTCCGTCGGAGACCATCCAGTGAGAGCTCCATGATAAACGCTTTTGCATTCTAACTTTCCCCCATTTGTCACAGCTATTTCTCCAGGATTTACACCATTGGGATATTTTTTGGTGCACTCTGACTGTAATGTTTTTCCACCAGCATTCAGAAGGGATTGTGAAACTGCGCCGTGTGTCAACTGAAGGTCTTTGGATGTCGAATTGACTATAGCATCAACCTACAGTATAAATAAGAAGGTTAATTAGAAATTAAAACATCAATTGAAGAACACATAGCCAATCAAAACATACTAAGGAAACAAACTATATCCCCTAAATATCAGAACACCGAAAAAACTAAACATTTAGAAACAGAAAAACCATCTGACAAAGGAGGATGTGCTCATCGCCAAGTGTATAATACAGATAAAAAAAACTTGTCCAACTAGTTTCAGTCGTAGCACTTGTAATACATTTGCAAATCCAGTGATAAGTAAAACGTTGATTGAGGATTATATTATATAAAGATTATGACTGCGTAAAATAAAACATTTCCGTTTATTTATTAATTGTTGGATATCGATTTCAGTGCGCACGACACTTGTCATTGAAATTTGCCGTTACAAAATTTTGAATTAATTACTTTAGATTAAGGAATTAATCTACCTCGGGTAAAGCTCTGAGTCTTTGCCCGGCTTTGGCTAAATGAAAAAAAATATCATGCGTCCAAAGCGCTTTTCTGGATTTACCTTCATCAGGGACACTCAAAGCCGAATATTTGCAATTGGAAGCCAAAGAACCGAAATAGTTGAAGAGCTATATGACCAAAAAACAAACTATAATAGCCAAATCCATCTAATGTCAAAATTTAGTTTTGTTATAAATCATGTAAGGACCAAAGTACTGACTTCTGAGCTGATGATACCCTGGAGGACTGATAATCGACCAGCAGCGGTATCGACCCAGTGCTGTAAAACTAAAACAACACTTTATAAATTTCATGCGTCCGAAGAAATTTTCTGGATTAACTTTCATCAGGAACGCCCAAAGCCGAATATTTGGAAGCCAAGGATTTATTAGAACCGAACATGCCAAAACAGTTGAAGAGTTATACAACCAAAAGGACCTAAAATCAAAAGCCAAATCAATCTTAGGTCAACTTTGCCTGAAGAAATTGAAACCTTAGTTTCTTTATAATTTCTAACTTTATAAACCGACAAATTTAGAAAAGTTTGTTATAAATCATGTCAGTACCGAAATACTGACTACTGAGCTGATGATACCATCGGGACTAATAGTCCACTAACAGCGATATCGACCAAGCACTTTAAAAATGAAAACAACAATTTTATAAATTTTATGAGTCTAAAGCGCTTTTCTGGATTCACCTTACATCAAAAACGCTCAAAGCCTAGTATTTGGAAGCCAATGAAGAATAAAAACCTTACCAGTTGAAGAGCTATAAAAAAAATAGCCAAATTCATCTACGGTCAACGATTTGAAACCTAAATTACTAAATTTTTTAAAAGGATAATTTTAGATTCGTCCATATCTCTTATGGTATTCACATAAAAAAGGACGATGAAAATCGCCCGTCTTTATACTGGATATTTAAACGTCACAAAAATCCTTATTAATAACGATATATATCTGGGTCGTCAATATGTTCGACTAACCATCTTTCTAAAGTTCTAACAACCATTCTTTCTACAATAAAAGATGGCGGTCAGACGTATTGTGTGTGATGAGGTATATTCAACCAGTGGTGTCAGTGCTCCAATATCTTCAATCACAATCTTTACAATTTTGCAATAATATAAAAATATTTGATCTTTCTACGCTTTACACTATTATTCGCCGTGTTCAATTGAAAGATCGACTACATCGTCTCATTAAGCAGAGATTAGATACACATTTCCCGTTTTACATCACGACAAATTTTATTTCGTGAAGAACCACATTTATCCGGAATAGATTACATTAGCTGTATATGGCAAAACCATTCTGAAATCTTGGCCCTCAATGCTCTTGAACTTTGACTCTACTTGGCATTGATAATTTTTTTGATTCGAGTGTCACTGATGAGCCTTTTAAAGACGAAACGCGCGTCAGGCGTACTATTTTAATCTGGTATCTATGATGAGCTTATATCCCACCACAAATACATCGCAGATATTACCTTGATTTGACACTTCCTAATCTATTTACGAGATTTAAACATCGGTAAACTACTGTCGCCTTAATTCACCATTGTGTAATATAAAAAATAATTGGTAAATATATGTAACATGGACATTCAATACTAATCTATCAAGCTACCGTAAAACTTGCAACATTGTTTAAACGAAACAACAACTGAGTGTGTTTTTAACTTTATTGATGATATTATTTAGTAAATATTAGTACTTATTGCATCAATCATTGATCCAATAATCATCAATAAATTCACGGATGCTACCAAGGGGCAATCGAAAATTGTAACCTGAAAATAAAACATTAAAAACATCGGCTAAGAAAACAAAGGAAAGACATAGAACAGTTTGCAAAACACCATACACAAAATTAATTGCAGAGCAACTTGGTCTTCTTCAAAAACTGGGGTTGTACTCACGTGCTATCAAAAAAGCAGTTCCTGTTTCACTAGTGGCACTTATCGTGTTACTTATGGGAAATAAAAATTAGTGACATTCGCATTCAATGTGAGATGGGATTGGGACAACGACAAATTAAGCATTGCCGTTGTCATCTGTGACACAGATATTCCATTAATACAACCGAAACAAAATGGCATTCTTAAAGCTTTTATAATGATGTAATTAATAAAGGCGTTAGAATTTGAAATGAGCGAAAATTTGCCAATGTAATGAAGATTAATATGATTAACAATATATCCGGTCTTGACAGCGAAACACTCTAAAAATAATATGGCATGTATTTTTCTAAATATAAATGCAAGACACCTATTCAATTTGCCCTAGAATGAGTACAGATGCATTTGTTACTGTGACTGCGCAAACTTTGCGAATATGTCATTATAAAGAAACTGGACTATTTTTTCCCTAAGGTAAAATGCCCTTGATATAATTTTCACAGTTTTGAAAAATTCCCACAGTAATGTGTTTTCTAGTTCAATTTGATGATCCTTTGTCACCATTATTTGATGCGTTTCCCTCAGTTTTAGTTTGTAACCCGGATTTGTTTTTATCTCTATCGATTTATGAGTTTCGAACAGCGGTATACTACTGTTGCCTTTATATATTAACTGGACATAATTACAAATCTAATATTCAATAATTGCATGTTTTATTATATATCTAACTCTATCCAAATCGAAAAAACTGCATCTCAATCTTATATTTATTCTTAATGAGATCTTTTGAAACTGTATTGTATAGTTTTCATTACTGTTAATTACAAATAATCATAATAAAACGTCATAAAAAAAAACATATATAATACCAAAATTCAATCTGCAGTAACTCAAATTTGCCATCTCTTAGAATATTTTGACATTCAGAGAGGTTGTAGACAAGGTGATCCTTTGTCACCATATATGTTTGTACTGTGTACAGAGATATACCAAATAATGACCAAATTAAAGGAATCACTATAGATGACTCAGAGTATCTCATTTCACAATATGCATATGATACTTCTCTTGTCAGAGTCTTTGGATGCATCTCTCCGTACTCTAGACAAATATGCAGGTTTATCAGGCCTTAATATGAATTTAGACAAGACCAAAGTTGTGGATTAGAAAGAAAAAGTTTAGCCAAGAAACTATGTGTGTAACATGGGGATTAGAATGGGATTTTAGCAGATTTACACTTCTTATAACTCCATGGATCTTAATGAAATTGAAAATTTAGACTATGATCCCAAGATGAAAGAAATCGAAAATACTATAAAACAATGGACAAACCAAATACTGTCAGCCCAATTGGAAAAATAATTGTAATATAACACTTATAATATCAAAATTGAACCATTTATTCCAGTATATACCTAGTCCAAATAGTACAAAGCTTGAAAATTTTACTGACAAAATATTTTCCTTTATCAGGGATAACAAACCAGATAAAGTTAAAAGAGACACTTTATTCAAACCACATTGTGCAGGAGGTCTAAAAATGATAAACATTGAAAACTAAAGGAAAGGTTCAAAACTAACCTGGATAAGAAGAGGTAATAGAAATAATTCAAAACTTGCGAAACTATTCCTCTTTTCAGAAAATTTGAATTTTATGGAAATGTAATTTCTTTACCCTTATAAAAAGCTGAAAAATCCATTTTGGAAAGAAGTATTTGATGCTTTAAAGGATCTTAAAAACACACAAGATAAATCTCAAATTAACACATGCAATATATGAAGAATGATGAAATAAATAAATCAATCAGTTTTATATAAAGATTGGACTCAAAAAGGGGTTTGGCTGATTTGTTAGATGAATATGGAAATTTCATGACTTTTGATAATATAAAAATGTATACAATAGCAAAACTAATTTCATTACATATCAAGGCGTTCTTTCTGTATTTAAAATTATATATGTCACAATGATTTGGTGAGAAGTACGGCCAAGTTTTGCCTTCAGTTATAAAAACATTTAAATCGAAACTATTTATGATTTCTTTCATTATTTAGCCTTACAAATTTAAGATTAACTATTACCTCCTGTAAAGCTACCTGGCCCCGAAGAACAGTGATTGCTATTGGACCCGACGATGGCTGGCTCATATCGTCATCATCATCATCATCATAATCATCATCAAAGTCGTCATCAGACAGCGCCACTTTAAACAATGAACATCATAAGTTATAATATGAAATATATTAACTACCATAAACCCGATAAATGCAAATGCATGTTAATCAAATAATAATAGAAATACAAAATTTTACATATGTTATTATTCTTTTAGATGTTCTGATAATCTGTGATAGAATTTTTTTTTTACAATGGTGTTGTATTTGATATACTACTTTGACATATGTATACGTTGATGACTATTGTTGTATCATCAAAACCATTTTAAATTACATTTCTATCTACAAACGCTCTTCATAGATACTAGGCTTATAATTTTGTACGCCAGACAAGCGTTTTGTCTACATTTAACTCATTAGTTACCAATTATTGTATCTGAACTAAGGTCATTTTGATGTTATTGTTAAAATACATAGTAAACCCTTTATTTTCATCGATACTTAAATTTGACAGTTTATATATCGGCTTGAATAACAAATATTATATATTATATATATAAAATATTAATAAATGTTATATTATTTTTGCTTATTTTTGCGTTTAAATTTGACAAAGGCTTTTCCAAAAATTTATTACTAGAAGATCGGAACTTAGGTAGGGGTATTTCATCTGTTTAGCTTATTTCAATGCATTACAAAACTATCACAATTCTGTTTATGGTACCTGAAAATCATAAACGGTGCCAATTTCACTGCACCAAATGCGCATTTTTGACATTTATTGTCTCTTCAGTGAAGCGGAATGTCTAAATATTTGGACATACAAAACCTGAAACAAACATTGAAGAACTAATAAAACCACAAAGGACAAAATGTAAAGCAAAACAAAATTGAATTCCTACCATTTTGGTCTGGTAAAACCCTTAAAAGTAACATCGATTATGGGAAAAAAAGTTTATGCCATGTCTATAAGCAGTCTGAAAATTGTTTTTTGTATAAATCCATTCGAGGTTTAACTAATAACAATATGAAAAATGAATGATACTATCGTGAAATTGTCAACCAAAATATAACAAAAATCATAGCATTTAATAACCAATTAACAATTATATCGTAGCCTTAGACTGAATCTTATTGATTTTGAATACTAATTTCATCTGTCAATTATTGTCATGTACCAAGAGAAAAAACTGAAACATTTTTTCAAATATATAACAATGCACTTTTCCCACAAAGTAATAAGGTAATTTTGGAGAGGCAAACTATCAGATTCATCCAATCAAAATTGTTGAATAAAATATAAATTACCGACACAGTTTAACTAGTATACTCTTTACCCTAATAATTTGGATGTAAAAAAAAATGGATCATATAACAAATTAAAACTGTGTAAAAAACTTATATATCAAAAACTTTTATAAATGCAACATTTATAATTCTCATTAAAAGTAAAATGATATATAAATCTCATTAAGTACATGTTGAAGGGGCATTAACTGTCAAATTCATGTTCACCGATTTGACTAAAATTCTTATATTTGATGAATAACATACTCAAACGCATATCCAAATTACAAAAAGTCTAAAATAAAAAATAACCAATGCTTGGACTCGAAAATATATATCAGCATTTCGTGTGTATTTTTGTTTAGACGTAATCTAATTAACCATCATGATGACCTCCGAAGACTGCTGACGGTCATATAACCCGAAATAAACATAAATAGAAATAGAAATAGATAGCGACCACGTACAAATGGATTTTTCCAAGTCTGTTTGATTTCATATTGTCGGTTCAAAAGTATGTTTATCATCGTTTTTACCTGTATAAGAATGATTTTTTATGGATTGAATCAGTCAACCAAATGGTTGATCCTTGTTTCACTTACAATTTTGACATTATTTTCCTTTTAATTGCTGAATACATGAGTAACCAATCTCCAGCTAAGGGGTTAAATTGAGGGTCACATAAATACTGATTCAATGAGGTCGAATTATTCACTTGCAAGTAAATTATTCATCAGCGATGTTTCTTAGCTTATTTTGACAAAATTGAACCAAACTGGCTGCTAGAAGCGAATTATTATTTCATTATTTCACTTTCATTAATGATCGCACAAAAAAAAAATCCTATCTTATTTTTTATATGTATCGTAGCTAATTCACCTTTAAAACAGGGGGATTTTATTTTTAATACAGAAGGCTTTACTAGTAAAACATATTAGATAATTGGAATAATTGATTTGGTTTTGAAATGTAAATCTTTTCTTCATTTAAAATCATGCGCTTATTTCTTCACTGAAATAATATAGAATAATCTGGAAAGCTTAAGGGAAAATAAGCATACAAGCACATGTGTAAGAAAAAAGAATAAAGACTAAGGGAAAATTGGCTATAAGTAAAATAGTTTAATTGAACTTTATAAATATAGCTTTGTTAATTTTTATCAACCTTAAGTCGCTTTTATTTCGTCAATTTAACAGAACACATAAGTATAAAGTATTTTTTGTGAATACACTTTATGCACTAATATGGATAAAAAACAATTGTGATTCAAATTCTTATAACTTTTTGGTGAACATGGGCGTCTGATGAGTGGACAAGGGACATTTCCCCCAACCCCTCACTTCTATCGACAGTGGTTGGAAAAACTATGTCGCCCTCTATATGTAAAAATAGTTAAGAATTTTTCAGAAAATAAAGAATTGCCTTTCAACTTTCTTTTCAAATTTTGTTATATTCAATATGTTCAAAACTCTCAACTAGTCTCGCCCCTCCGTTTACTCCAAGTTTAATCAACTACTATTTTTTAATACAAAAAAGCATATGTCTATCAAAATCTGCCAATTACTATTTTCTTACTGGTGATTTGTCAACACATGATAGATCAGTTGGTCAATTTGTTTTGTCAGTACGGTTCACATTTATTTTCCTTAAACCAATTTAAGAAAAATTAAAAACCAATTGTTCAAAGAACAATTGAAGGTCTTTCCACATCAATTTTCTAAATAATTGATAGGAAGCTACTTCTGGTTTACTCAAAGTTATTAATAGCGTCAAAGTATAGATTTCTTCATACTGATTCAATAAATAAATGGTTTCTATATACTTTTGCCTGAAATAAGGGTGATAATTGCCAACTTCCGGTTTAGAAAATGTCACTTCCGGTCTCATATGATAGCTTTATTCACACTGATTCCAAAAATATATAGTTTGTATATACTTATGCCTGTAATAAGGAAGATAATATGCTACTTCCGGTATATACAATGTCACTTCCGGTCTACAACAAATGGAAGTTTTTAACTACTTTGACTGGATATACATCCCTCGCACGGTCGGCTATTTTCCGGTCTCAAATGATAGGTTAACCTATGATCATTCAAAAAATATATGATTTCTAGGTACTTTTCCATGACATAAGTGCAAAAAAACTACTTCCGGTTCACTCAAGGTCATTATCGGTTTACTTTTTTCAAGGTCATATGTCAACCAACAGTTTGCAAAAGACCCTATGGCTTTATCATGTACCAAGTTGGAGTAATAATCAATTAACCTTAAATTGAATCATTTCAGGGACAATAACTCCTACAAGATATTATTGGATTGTTTCAGACCAAATGTATCATATCTTAATCACAATTAAGCAAACATTTTGCACTAGTTCTTTAATTTGTAATTTTAAAAGTGACAGAGGAGATCAAATAACAAGGAAAAGTCAAAATTTAGAATATGACCTTGACATATGACCTTGGCCTCAATTTCATTTAAATGAACCAAGGAACTCAAATCAATATACCTTAGGTCTCTATCACTTACCATTCATTCTATACATTTATATATCCCTTATGTCAAATACAGAAGGGGGAATAACTCTCATATGGAGTTTACGTATTGCTTCGGTCAAAATTCGACAAAACATCCTGAGGATATAACGAGCAATTTGGTAAAATAAATTTGTCGCTTTCTTTTACGGTTACGGAGGAGATGCACACACAAGGAAAACAATGTTCGGGGAGATAACTCCTACAAAGAAAAGTATTCGGTTAAGCAGGGTCAATTTCAAAGGCGCATAAACTGTTCGATATCATATACGAAACATCTAAGCGACATCTTGCGAAACAAAAATTTATCACAAGAACAAAATTTGGCGGAAGAAAAAAAGAAAAATTAAAAACCAATTGTTCAAAGAACAATTGAAGGTATTATCACATCAATTTTCTAAATAATTGATGAGAAGCTAATTCTGGTTTACTCAAAGCTACTATTGGCGTCCAATCATAGGTTTCTTCATACTGTTTCAATAAACATATGGTTTCTATGCACTTTTGCCTGAAATAAGGGAGATGATTGTCAACTTCCGGTTTAGACAATGTCACTTCCGGTCTCATATGATAGCTTTATTTACACTGATTCCAAAAATATATGGTTTATATATACTTTTGCCTGTAAAAAGGGAGATAATTGGCTACTTCCGGTTTAGAAAATGTCACTTTCGGTCTCATATGATAGCTATATTTACACTGATTCCAAAAATATATGGTTTATATATACTTTTGCCTGTAAAAAGGGAGATAATTGGCTACTTCCGGTTTATAAAATATTACTTCCAGTCTCAAATGATAGATTAATGTATGACCATTCAAAAAATTTATGGTTTCTATGTACTTCTACATGAAATTAGTGCAAAAATGACTACTTCCGGTTCACTCAAGGTCACTTCCGGTTGACATTTTTCAAGGTCATATGTCACCCAACATTTTGCAAAAGATCTTATGGCTTTATCGTGTACCAAGTTGGAGTAATAATAAATTAACCTTAAATTGAATCATTTCAGGGACAATAACTCATATAAGATATCATTGGATTATTTCAGACCAAATGTATCATATCTTAATCACAATTAAGCAAACATTATGCACTAGTTCTTTAATTTGTAATTTTAAAAGTGACAGAGGAGATCAAATAACAAGGAAAAGTCAAAATTTAGAATATGACCTTGACCTTTGTCCTTGGCCTCAATTTCATTTAAATGAACCAAGAAACTCAAATCAATATACCTTAGGTCTCTATCACTTACCATTCATGCTATACATTTATATATCCCTTATGTCAAATACAGAAGGGGAAATAACTCTCATATGGAGTTTACGTATCGCTTCGGTCAAAATTGGACAAAACATCCTGAGGATATAACGAGCAATTTGGTAAAATAAATTTGTCGCTTTCTTTTACGGTTACGGAGGAGATGTGTGCACAAGGAAAACAGTGTTGGGGGAGATAGCTCCTACAAAGAAAATTATTTGGTTTCGCAGGCTAAATTTCAAAGGCGCATAAACTGTTCGATATCATATACCAAATATCTAAGTGACATATTGCGAAACAAATATTTATCGCAAGAACAAAATTAGGCGAAAGAAAAAAAAAATAAAAACCAATTGTTCAGAGAACAATTGAAGGTCTTTCCACATCAATTATCTAAATCATTGATGAGAAGCTACTTCCAGTTTACTCAAAGTTACTATTGGTGTCCAAGCTTTGGTTTCTTCATTCTGATTCAATTAATATATGGTTTCTATATACTTTTGCCTGAAATAAGGGAGATTATTGCCAACTTCCGGTTTAGAAAATGTCACTTCCGGTCTCATATGATAGCTTTATTTACACTGATTCCAAAAATATATGGTTTATATATACTTTTGCATGCAAAAAGGAGATAATTAGCTACTTCCGGTTTAGAAAATGTCACTTCCGGTCTAATATGATAGCTTTATTCACACTGATTCCAAAAATATATAGTTTGTATATACTTATGCCTGTAATAAGGGAGATAATATGCTACTTCCGGTCTCAAATGAAAGGTTAATGTATGTCCATTCAAAAAATATATGGTTTCTAGGTACTTTTCCATGAAATAAGTGCAAAAATGGCTACTTCCGGTTTACTCAAGGTCACTTCCGGTTGATATTGTTCAAGGTCATATGTCAACCAACAGTTTGCAAAAGACCCTATGGCTTTATCATGTACCAAGTTGGAGTAATAATCAATTAACATTAAATTGAATCATTTCAGGGACAATAACTCCTATAAGACATCATTGGATTGTTTCAGACCAAATGTATCATATCTTAATCACAATTAAGCAAACATTTTGCACTAGTTCTTTAATTTGTAATTTTAAAAGTGACAGAGGAGATCAAATAACAAGGAAAAGTCAAAATTTAGAATATGACCTTGACCTTTGACCTAGGCCTCAATTTCATTTAAATGAACCAAGGAACTCAAATCAATATACCTTAGGTCTCTATCACTTACCATTCATGCTATACATTTATATATCCCTTATGTCAAATACAGAAGGGGAAATAACCCTCATATGGAGTTTACGTATTGCTTCGGTCAAAATTCGACAAAACATCCTGAGGATATAACGAGCAATTTGGTAAAATAAATTTGTCGCTTTCTTTTACGGTTACGGAGGAGATGCATGCACAAGGAAAACAGTGTTCGGGGAGATAACTCCTACAAAGAAAAATATTCGGTTAAGCAGGATCAATTTCAAAGGCGCATAAACTGTTCGATATCATATACGAAACATCTAAGCGACATCTTCCGAAACAAAAATATATCGCAAGAAAAATATTTGGAGGAAGAAAAAAAAAAAAAATTAAAAACCAATTGTTCAAAGAACAATTGAAGGTCTTTCCACATCAATTTTCTAAATAATTGATGAGAAGCTAATTCTGGTTTACTCAAAGCTACTAATTGCCTCCAATCATAGGTTTCTTCATACTGATTCAATAAACATATGGTTTCTATAGTCTTTTGCCTGAAATAAGGGAGATAATTGCCAACTTCCGGTTTAGAAAATGTCATTTTCGGTCTCATAAGATAGCCTTATTTACACTGATTCCAAAAATATATGGTTTATATATACTTTTGCCTGTAAAAAGGGAGATAATTGGCTACTTCCGGTTTAGAAAATGTCACTTCCGGTCTCAAATGATAGATTAATGTATGACCAATAAAAAATATATGGTTTCTATGTACTTTTACATGAAATAAGTGCAAAAATGACTACTTCCGGTTCACTCAAGGTCACTTCCGGTTTATTTTTTTGAAGGTCATATGTCAATCAACAGTTTGCAAAAGACCCTATGGCTTTATCATGTACCAAGTTGGAGTAATAATCAATTAACCTTAAATTGAATCATTTCAGGGGCAATAACTCCTATAAGATATCATTGGATTGTTTCAGACCAAATGTATCATATCTTAATCACAATGAGGCAAACATTTTGCACTAGTTCTTTAATTTGTAATTTTAAAAGTGACAGAGGAGATCAAATAACAAGGAAAAGTCAAAATTTAGAATATGACCTTGACCTTTGACCTTGGCCTCAATTTCATTCAAATGAACCAAGAAACTCAAATCAATATACCTTAGGTCTCTATCACTTACCATTCATGCTATACATTTATATATCCCTTATGTCAAATACAGAAGGGGAAATAACTCTCATATGGAGTTTACGTATCGCTTCGGTCAAAATTGGACCAAACATCCTGAGGATATAACGAGCAATTTGGTAAAATAAATTTGTCGCTTTCTTTTACGGTTACGGAGGAGATGTGTGCACAAGGAAAACAGTGTTGGGGGAGAAAAATATTTGGTTACGCAGGGTAAATTTCAAAGGCGCATAAACTGTTCGATATCATTTACTAAATATCTAAGCGACATATTGCGAAACAAATATTTATCGCAAGAACAAAATTAGGCGGAAGAAAAAAAAAATAATAATCAGAAGAAAACCAATACGTCTTTCCACAGAAAAGTGGAAAGACCTAATAATCAGAAGAAAACCAATAGGTCTTTCCACAGAAAAGTGGAAAGACCTAATAATCAGAAGAAAACCAATAGGTCTTTCCACAGAAAAGTGGAAAGGCCTTATCAGAACAAATACAATAGGTCTTTCCACCGAAAAGTGGAAAGACCTAATTAACTGAATCCTATGTAACTGAAATTTAAACATAGACGGTACAAATTTTACTGCACCCTATGCGCATTTCGACAATTAATGTCTCTTCAGTGATGCTCTAGGTCACCAAAATATTTTAAAATTCAATAAAAAATTGAGAGTGATGAATACACAATTTGATGTCGATAAACTTTGCACTTTCCTCAGTCAGTTTAACAATAGAATGCAAATGGTGTGTTCTATATTTTGAAAAGTTAAATGTCATAAAGCAAAATAAATTAACTATTGTATTAAATTTTACCCATCATAGGGGTAAATATTTTTTTCAATTCTAAAATCTTTACAAATAACTCTTTTCTATGTTATTATACCAACAAAGATGAAACTATAGAATTGTAATGTGAGTGGTATTGGTGATATGAAAATCGAAATGTGAAATTTTGGTATCATTGATCAGTGGCTTATTGGGACTACTTGTGACTTATGTTATCATTTTTTGCCAAACATTCATAATCAATTATCAATCATATTACATTATACATACTGGCACTAGCTTCTTCAAACCTATGTTGTCTTAATCTGTGAGGTGTGCTTTGTCCGATTACTTTCACGTTTGTTCGATCAAATTTCGTCTGTAGAACAGTAACAAAGTTCTTCAGTGTATTTTCTTTTAAATCACATAGAAAAACTTTCTGGATCGATGTCGATTTGTTTGACTTGAAAAATCTTTTGATGGAATCCACTATTACTTTACAGGCATCATGTAGTGGATATCCAAAATTTCCCGTTCCAATTGCTGGAATTGCTATAGATTTTAATTTTCTTTGTGCAGTCTCTTTTAGAGATTGTTCGATACATTCGGACAGATATTCGTCTTCATTGTGAAAGCCATCTTGGTATGGTGGTCCGACAGCATGAATAACCAACTTACATTTCAGATTACCTGCTTTGCTACAGAAAATCTCACCAGGCAATAGTTCTTTTTCACCGAGTCGTCTACGAATATATTCACTACATTCCTGCTGTATGCTTTGTCCTCCTTCAATAAATATATGGCGTCACATATCTATAGTATCTACATTTAGAATATAGTAAAGTGCTCTCGACCAATGAAATTATAGGATTTGGTGTTTCTTAATTCTGAAAAAATGAATGAAATCATGATCTTAGTAAGGGATTATCCTATTGTTTAGGCCTACTTACAGTTCAAAACAAAGAGTTTCTATAAACGAGTTACAAATGTCCTGACGCACATTTATCACCTTGAAAGATTTTGTGATTAAAACTGACTAAATGTTGAATTTTGAAACAAACAAAAAAATCAAAATAAGATGAAGTTTACTGGTACCGTTAACGTTATGAGAATATTAATAACTTCAAAATACAAAAAAAAAAATAAACAATATCAAAGCAATGGGAACAAAAGGGGAAAAAAAGTTTTAAAATTAAATAAAACCTAAATCTTTAGCGTCTACTCTTTCAAAAACTCAGATTACTGGATCCGCGGTTGGTGAGAATAGTAATTTCCAATATTCTGATAAAATTCTAAAAAAAGGATTTTAGTTTAACTTTTGAATATATCTTAAACTTTTAAATGCATTGTATTTGAACATTTCCCTGACATAATGAAGTAGTATTTGATGTAAAGGACTGGACTTAAATATTGGCTGTAAAATAAAATTTAGTTGTAACTCAAATTTTGAATTTGTTGATTTTAACTGGAAATAAACAAAAAGATAATTCCTCGCTAAAATATTACATGATTTACATCCATACTTATAATCAGGAAACATTTCTAACCATTTCAATTTTCATGTTGTTTCATCTAATGTCTAAAACACAATCTATTATATTTTCCAAAATTATAAAAAAAAGTCCTTACATCACTAAAACTAATCGATAAATGAAATGCTTAAGAAGGAAGTCATGCATTAATTACAAACATTGGACTGAAAATGAAACTAATTCTTAAATACAACCAATCAAGAGATCATTGAAGCCTTGAGCACTTTACAATATTCTAAGTTTGTAAGTATAGGTTAGACAATACTTGGTCATGTTTTATGAAGATTAAAAGCCCAAGGCGTAGCCGCGGGTTTTAAATGTTCATAAAACATGACCAAGTATTGTCTGACCAATTTAGAGCATATTCACACATTCGAGTGACCTTACAAAGTTATCCTTTCCCATTGTAATATTCAAACCTTAATAAGAATTCACTTTTTATAAAGAAGTGTTAACTAGGTTAATAAAAGGAATGTATAACATAGGTAATGATCATTTCAATGGATGGAATGAAATAGCACTGACATAGTTTTGTGAGGATAAAAAGGATAAATTGTTCAAACATTGAGTTTTTCTTCTGCTTCACGTAAAATTAAATACTTACATATATACCTTAAGTTTCTTGATTTCAAAAAACACTCAATGTGATATAAATCAGCTTTTTAAAATTTGTATATGTTTTGATAATTATAAAACTCACTCTATAAATATTTGAATTACGACCATTTAACATCAGATGCTTACTTTTTATTGATGAATGTACATGTATTGTGTTTTTTTTTTTTTTTATTTTTTTGTTTTCGAAAAAAAACCTTTGCTTTATATATCAGCATTATGATATTGTTTTCTTGAAAGAAAAATAATATAATTGACTCGAATGTAAGGTATAAAAATTGAATAAAAGATTATTTTACCTACATCTTTGCCCCCATTTCATTTTTTGTTTGTCATATACATATACCATGATAAATATTTGCAAAAGTCAAAATGTTTTTTAAAATTCTTTTCTCTTTCATCTTTAATCAGTAGGCTATTTCCTAAAATAAAATGCCTCAGGGGATTGTACACTCTGTGAGTGTAGTTATTTAGAGTTCACTTTTTTATTCATCTACAATAAAAAGTCATTCATGTATAGCATTTTATAGTGCATGGAAAGCCATGTACTATGAAAATTATGTCTGCTATATTTTCTTCGGAATATTCCTGTACCAAGTCAAGAATATGGAAGTTGTTTTCCACTTCCTTTGATTGGTAGCGTTTGATTTTGTCAGTTTTTATGGACTTCCCTTTTTTGAATTTGCACTTTCTAAATGATGTCATTTGACGGTGACATAGATATTCAGGACTTCTATATAACGGTTCAAATGAATTGATTTACTCAATGCCATTCAATTTCGTATTTGATTTGGCTTTCAAACTATTTTGAACCAAGCACAACTGATAAGTCCTATGTGCGTCTTGCGTTCCAGTTTAACTAGTTTTGTATCTTTAATGATTTTTTTTCAATCCAAAGGAGAATGATTGTGTTTAGAATTTATTATATAAAACAAGATTCTTAAACCATCAGTTGTATTAATATCCATTCAAATTGCAGTAAGGTCTCATATCTTAGTTGATGCATTTTTATTACTGAAAGGTTTTTACAAGGACGTAGATATCTTATTGTTTTCAAAACTTTCTCTTAAATATAATATATGTACTTATTATGAAAGTATGAGTCCACTTACAGGAATGCAATTGGAGAAAATGGTATATCTCCTTCAGTCTTCGTGGTAATCAGCAATAATGTGTACAAACTGTTGGCGAAATATTACTGGCTTGTATAATATATTTTGGTGTTAAATATCGATTATTAATTACAGTATGAAACACGACAGACGGTAGTAAGACAGAACTTTTTCATACTTTTTAAAAAAAAGTGAATTTAATGCTACTTTAACAAAAATATAATATAAAGTATAGTTCACTGAGTTTGATGTCAAGCTACAGGTTATGAAAAATTGACACATTTGGTAAGGATTATACATTGAGAAAGCATTTTATCGGGAATCAAAAGAAAACTAAATGTCAAGACTTTTGAAATAAAATGTCAGCATATAACTCTTACCAGAAATTAAAAAAAAAATGATGTCACTTAAACTTTTTTTTCTTGCTATATAACAACATTTTTACAATACATTAGTTTACAAAATTAATTATCTGAGCTATCCCTCCTTATAACACAAAGTGCTTTAGAGTCAATTATGAAATATTTTGTATTTGTACAAAAAAAAACCAGTTTTTTTAATAAAATACAATCCCTTAATTTTTTTCGTTTCAATGAAAAGTCTCACAACTAAAATGCATTTCTGCATCAAATTTTGCTTATTCTAAAAAATTAAAGACCAATCATTTCATGTTGTTTGCGATCAAAGATGGCAAAATACTACCATACTACCTGAAATGATAATTATTTTTCTTTTTCTGAAATTGAACTCAAAAATACTAATAGCATGGCGAAAAATAGGCTTGTTAAATTTCCCACTGTTAATGGTTTGCTTAATATTTGACAAAGAAGGTTGCATTGGTCATACATAAGGCATATATTAGGGTATAAGAGACAAAGTTAAATATCCGGATATTATTTACATTTAACTTCAGTGAATGTTGGTATTGTTGACCATGTATCTTTGGTTTAGTCATTGAAACTATCAATAATTTGCTTATAGCATTTTGTCTTTACCAATATGATAAGAGGAAAGGGTTGAGTGCTAACAAAACTACTTTACACCATCACATGTAAATATTTCTGTCCGTAGTCTGGGAATGTTTTTTTCATAAGATATGGTGTTGATTTTTGTTGAACTCTGTTGAATTCATACATGCATTCACTACACGGGGTGATTTCGAATCTGAAATATAGAATAAATACTTGCTTAAATTTGAAAGTCGTGTGTAGACCGATAGATGCTTTTTTGTTTAAATATGTTGTTTGATGTTGTCTCATTGACACTGAGGCCCCTGATGATTCATATGCTAGTAGATAAATGAGAAGCTTACTTACACATATTTCTTTTTAAGACCTTACCTTTTGTAACGATTACTTCTGCTAGTCCACCAACATGTTCCAAAGTTTTGTTTGCTGCATTTACAATAACATCAAAATCAAGTTCCGTTATGTCTCCTACTACAGTCACGATAGTTTGCCCTGATGCGGTTGTGCATGTTGCGGTTTCTCTCTGCGCAAGTAATGACTGGGGGATGATTTTGGTATCCATGGACTGGTCATCGTTATCGTTGACGGTGAAAACTACTGCATTGGTTCGTTCTACCTGTGCTATTTTTGCTTTACCTTCAAGACTCTGTATGTGTTGAACAATTCCGGCCTTATTTATGACATGCTTCTTTTCCACAATGCTGGCGAGAAGTTGATTAATTCTTGCGTTCGCTTTCGATAAACCAGTATTGTTACCTTTTAAAAGTAATTCTGAATCATTTATCTGAATGGTAACATGCTCATTTTGCAAATCTCTCTCTATAGATGCTATTTCTTTTCTATAGTGTTCCTTTAAAAGTCGGGAAACTGCCCCTGATTGGTTTATTTTTTGCTGTTTTATGGCATTTTTATACAAAAAGTCCTGCAGGGTTTCTCTGATCATACCAATATTTGCAGCGGAAGTGGTATAGACTGTTATCTTACTGCTTGTCTCATCGATTTTAACTACTTTGTTGCTAGTTAAACATTGAGTTGATTTAATTAAGTCTTTCCATGACTGCGTCTTTAGTATATTCGATTGGCCATCTTCGACATCAATTTTAACCTCGCTTAATAATTTTCTAAAATGCTGAACCGCTTTTACAAGCTCTTCGTCGGATAAAGAATATATCTTTAAGCTTTTGCCATCTGTCACCGCCCATGTTGCTGTCAATCCACTTTCAGAAAAGCTTTTCTCCAGGTATGACTTGACTTCAGGTATTCCTAGAAATCTGATCATACCTTCGCTTACTTCGTCTAATTAACGCTCTGTTATTTCTCTTGTTTTTTCAAACATTTTCATTTTTGCTAGGGCTATCGCGGTAGCTTTTCCTGAGAATTTTACAAGGTTGTTTTCTTTATCGACAACAACCTCTACCCCATCAACCTTTTTACTGTACTGCTCTTGAAAACTAATACAATGTAGGATTGAAGTTTCATAAGGTTTAATTCGAAAAATGTCCTCGATCTGACTTTTCTTTTCATCAATTTCTTTTTCTATATCTTTTATGATTGAAGAAATTTTTCCTGATACCTTTTCCGTATCAACAACCTGACCAACAATAACGATTGTGTTGTTTTCTTGGTCAGTTCTTACAATAACACTGTCTTTCTGCATGCCTTCTATTTCTTTCATAACTTCATCCATTGCTTCTTTAATTGTATTGAGTTTGGCCACTTTTATACAACTCAAATATGTTGACATTTCCTTTTGAATAACCGCTGACCATGCTTTTGCAAGTTTCCTACAATCTTTATTAGTTGCTTCTAGCGTACAAGCAACTTCTAATTTTTCATCCTTATTCATAGTTGACCAATTAATGCGCGCATGTTTGTCGAAGATATTCATTCATTTTCTCTTGATTTTCAGGGGATTCCTTAAGAAAGACAAGTTTCCACTTATCAACATGTTCAATTAGTACAGGGTCAGGCTGCTGGAACTGTAAACTCTGGCTTTCATCGGCTGGATTACCTAGACATTCTTGATGGATTCTTACTTTAAATTCTACTCCATCAACCTTGTGCTTACGATTGCAGACAATATCAACCGCTGTTTCAAATAAATAAAATTTCGTTATGTATGCTAGATGTAGTGTCTTAATTCAAAATAAAATAAACTTCTACTAAATAAATAATTGTCTTGTCTCCTTTACTTTTGAAGCTACTGCTATTGCACTGGTTTCCCTTTTTTTAAGTTTTAAATTAGTTTAACTTTGAAAGAGAACTTTATCCTTAAGGATGTAAAACTCAAACTTCCCGATTGATTTATTTCATCGTCCCCGCTGGTTATGTTATTACTAATGACCTTGGCATCGTAAACAACACACGACTTAGCTATAAAGAGTTGTTTGCGGCTCGAAATACCACATTTCCAAGCTAAAAAATTTGAAGGACTTAAGGTACTGTGCCATTGAGGACCATGCCAAAAAATTAATAAAGCATACCGCAGATGAAACAAAACTGGACATTTAGTTCTGAATCACTCAAACCTATTTGGACATGCCTTTAGAAGCATATTCAAAATGTACAACGTACAATGATATCACGACTTTCTATTCTTTCAAGAAGACTTAGTTTGTAGAAACTTTACTCTCTCTTCGAGACTATATGTTATTGTTGCAGATGACAAATTATCTATCAATATTGTTTTAATATAACACAATCATTATTTGGAATGACTAACTAAGAAATCAGAGTTCACAGCAAAACGTGGAATCTTAGATATTCCACTACATCATTCAAGAAAGAGAAGATATTTAGAAAATCATAAATCCGTTCTTCTCTCTTTAGCATTAACATAAAAGGACGATGCCAATATCCCGTCTTGGATACATAACTTCACAAAATATTTATAAAGTTTCAATCACCACTCTTGCAACAGTTAATGATGGTCTTCAGAAATATTGTGATGAGGTATACTCGAATAGATGTTTCATTAGATGTGGATTCTTGAAAATCTACTGCAAATCTTGAATCAAAATCGTTACAATTTTGAAGTACGCTTTACACTACTATTCCCAATGATCGATTGTAAGATCGAGTACATCGTCTCACTAAACAGGTTTTTCTACACAATGGGAATTGATGAACACATTTCTCTTGATTAAGGTCATGAAAATATGTGAAGAACCATTTGTTCCAAAAACAAATACACGGAATATTGATGACATTAAATTTCTGGACAACATATTTGTTTAGATTGCTGGATTTATATTTCAACATACAGTCAGTATTTCAATGGGCACTGAATGTGCATACCTAGTGCCATACTTTTTGTACTCATATGAAGCAGAACTCATTCAAAGCTTTCTTAAAGACTACAAGACAAAAAATATCTTGCAAAGCTCTTTAATTGCACTCTCAGATTTATTTATGATATCTTGTCACTCAGTTATCCTCAATTTAGTGAGTGCTTGCATCTCATATATACAAATGAAGACCGTACTGTGACCTATAATGGTTTACTTTTATAAAATTTGACTTGGATGGAGAGTTGTCTCATTGGCACTCATACCACATCTTCTTATATCTAAATGAAGTGATTGATATCAAGGATACTACTGATACTAGAAGGTCGGTTTAATATCTTGACCACCACGGCGAACTGGATGATCTAGACGATATGTCCGTGTCTGAAGTCACTAGCGACGTGATTGCCCAGTTTTAGATCTTCCGGAATAGTCGTCTTATGTGTATTTTAGTATGTGTTGTCATATTAACGATTGACTCGATGTGGATTCGCATGGCGGGGAATATTGAATCCAAAGCAGGAAACGCTTACCCTGTCGAACCGCATGGTATGGCTCCTTTTTGAGTAACTGCGATTCATCAGTTTGTGTGTTTTGCCTTGATTTGTCTTCTTCAATTTATGAGATATGAATATCTATTTTTGATCGTTCGTTTTTTCGATTCCCAAGCAAAGCAGAAATTGTTACATCAGAAACAAAAGACTCTACTGTGTCGTTCACCTAGATTTTTTGTGCATTTTGAACAATGGCCAGTCTCCAACATTAAATACTTAAATATAATGCATGACTAAGATCTCTTTTTTCTTAATCTTGTGTTGATGATATTTTTTGTTTTCAGCGTCTCTCTATCTACTATAGTTTTTGACTTACACATAAAAGGATAAAAGCGTTATTTAAGGGCAAACCCGCCTATATGAGGTTTCTTAACATCTGAAGGACGGATGAAACTCTCCTAGAGTATCGTTAGCGAGCAGTATTTTTTTCAGTAAAACTTTTCTACCGATATTGCAGTGTGTTCAAATATAACAATACACTGTTTTATTTTAGTTGTACAACCTAAACATTATTCGTGCAATTTATTTTATTATGTTGAAATTTGAGTAATTTTACTTTGAATTACGGTTTTTTACATGTCATTAATGCGTTCGATTTATGTCCTTGATCCGATTAAAAAATAGAACCTTGGTTTTGTACTGTAGTTGTTAAATACTGTTTTCCCCGCATCTGGTTGGCATCTATTTATTGATTGTTAGATGCTTATTATTCAGTGGCAAATATATTTCATGCATATTCAGGACGAGATTAACATTTCATAAAGGATTGAAAACTGAATGAGATGACACAACTCTAAAATGTTTCATCTATTATATATTCACACGTCTTTTTGATAACCAAGGTCAAAGTTCTAAAACACAGGAAATCTGTCATATCGGTTGACGGTACAACGAACCAATGACTAGAAATTACATGTTTTATATAAACATAGATATAGGAAGATGTGGTATGAGTGCCAATGAGACAACTTTCCATCCAAGTTACAATTTATAAAAGTAAACCATTATAGGTCAAGGTACGGCCTTCAACGCGGAGCATTGGCTACACCGAACAGCAAGCTATAAAGGGCCCCAACAAATACGCCTGCTCTTGTGTAGTCTGTTTACTTTTTCATTCGCATTTTGTCTATATTTTCTATGAAAATGAAAACCAGTCTGCCAGTCAAGGGGAAAATAGCAGGCATGTGTTAGTGTGATGTCATTAAAGACCATAATAAAATAAGATAACTGGAAATTTTAAAAGAAACAATGAATGTCTAAAATAAATGTTCTTTACATGTTTAATTCACTTAAATCTAAAGTATAAAAAAAGCAATTAAAAAAAAAGAAACAAACAAAAACATTAACCCGATACAATACGGCATATCTCTTACAAGTTAACTGTTTTTTTTTTCAAATCATTGTTTCAATATTTTCCTTTATTTTCCATTTTTAGTATGTCAGTTTAGCTAGAACATTAATCAGTTAAACCCATTTACGATTATATAGTGATCATAAAGATTTGGTATGGTTTGGTAGGTTGGGTTGGGAATTTTGAACTGATCCGACGAATTTTATTTCAAATTTATAACTTTATTGTCCTATCGATGTTCATTCTAATATTCTTTTACCTCAAGTTAAAACCGGACTTTTTACCTTTTATTTAAGCCTAGATATGTTTTCAAAAAATATGCATGACCCCTTTCACCCCAAAGTTGTACTTTAACCCTAATGATTTTGCCATGTTTTTTCAAGATCTCAATTACGATTACTGTGATTGGTCTAGATATTTTCTTTTCATTGCCAATATTTTCTACTGTTTATTAAATCATAAATCATATATTAAATATGCATCAAATTGATATAAAAAAAAGCTGTATAATTTAATGTAAAAGACATTTCTTATGGAAGTGAACAGATGGTCCATCATTATTTGATAAATGAATTATCCCTCTTTTGACGTTACAGCGAGTTACGTCGAGTTATGATGATTTTTATACGTTCGTAAGATTTATTCTCAGTGACAACTACAACAAATATTAAATGTTGATTAATTTGTAGATCTTGTCTTGCTCGTCATTTTGTATGTCTATTGGTTTTCTTTATCTTTGATTGTGTTTGCGTAATATGGGGAAAATAAACATTGAAGGTGAATAACTCCTAAAAGGAGCTCGCTCGACTATATAAACAGTTGTCTTTTTAATAAGTTGATAGTTTTTGCTGTTTACAATTTTTCTTAATCTACTTTTTTTTTTTTTTTCTCAAGATAATAAGCCAAAATCCCAATATTTGAAAAGTTCGTCATTTAGCACCAAAAACTCCTATAAGGAGTTGACCTACGATTTCGGCTATTTAACGTAATTGTAAATCTTCTCTTGCTACACTTTTTTTTGCATTTTAGTTTCTCTCTTTCTATTCAAGTTTTCCAGATGATACACAAAAATGAAAACAAAATCGCAAAATCGGTAAGTTCAAGGCAATAGCTCTTACAATGAATCGTCAGACAGTTTTGTTGTAAATAGACAGTAAGTAGTCCTTTTTTTAAATTAGATACTAAAATCGTGATTTCTAGTTTCAGTTGGCTCAGTAGTTTCAGGGGAGAAGAGTAAACGGACGACGCCAATTAATGAGAAAAGATCACTTGACTCTTTTGATCAGATGACCTAAAATGTGTTACTATATTTTAACAAATTATAAAACAAAGCTCACTTGACAAACTCACAATTATAATCGTCAAAAGAAATAAAACATTGATTCTGCTGCTGGTTCATCTTTACTTTGGTAACACCATCCACCCCACATTTCTTCTTGCTGTCAAAATATAACTCCAAAGTCTCCTCAGACGTGGTCTCTTTAAAACCAGTAGCAACTATCGTATTGGTAACGGTCACATGATCTATATTTAGATAGTTGCCTTCTAATGTTCTCTTTTTACACTGTTGTCGTAGTTTTTCTATGTCTGAAAAAGTTGATAGAGGTGATATAAGTATATGTTTCTCTGTTAATACAGCTACTCATCCCTCTTTATAAAATACTTGCTACACTATGTACAAAAATATCAAGACTGTTTATTGAAATGTTTGTTTTTGTCTTATTGGGCTTGACTGGCACGAAATGTGGAAACAGAGTTCTAATAATCTTATGTTTGAATATGTTTATATATTAGTTCAGTTTATTCTCGATTATGATCTCTGTAAAAAATATACACAGAGAAAAAAATGTAAAGCTATAATATATTTTCTTCTAAAAGAGCATAATGCACAATATCATATACATCTATATACGTTTATTTAGCAATCGCCAATGGCAGTCAGCAGGATTTAAGAACATTTGTTGTTCGACCTGTTAGTCAAATGCGTTTTGTTAAAATATACTTTTTCGCTTTTTTGAACTTTTGAAAAATGTTGTTTGTGCTGTATTTAGACCCCTCTAATAAGAAATTTGTTTTGCATGCACGCGTATAAAAATTGCGGTTTTTATCCAACGCAATCATAGGTTTGAACGTTGTTTTCAATTTAGAATTGTATATATATATATATATATATATATATATATACAACATTTTGAATCTGTTTTTATATAACAGTATAAGCTCACCTGGTTTTGTATCAAATGTGACCAGAGCAGTACCTTCCTCTTCCCCATAAATTATATCAATTGGTTCCGCATTTGATTTTGCTTCCAGAAAGTTAAAGAGGGAATCTTTAGTGGTTGACGAACTAACACCTTTTATAAATACTTTGTCTTCATACTTCGGAAGAGGCGGAGGAGGTATATATTTCTTCACAGTTAGTTGCATTCCACCAACCTTGTGTGTCTTTTGGAGGATTTTATCGATAGCTGTAAATTTAATTGAATATCAACTAATATAATATATGGATAAATATTACAACAAACTTATTACAAAAGATCATAGAAGGTCAATGATATAAATATATATATATATAACAGTTTGGTATCCCTTGGTTTGAAATCCAGATTGGTTGCATATTCAACAAATAAGAAAAAACATGTAAAAACATACAGTCGTTGATGCGTTACTTTATAATTTGATCATCTTGACCTTATGGTATGCAATATTCTCAATACAACAATGTCGTATTGTTCTAACATAAAAAGTAGGTTCTTCTATCATATTTATGAATTCATTGAAACCTTTCGGCCAATTATGATTTGTCTAAACTCGTGTGAAATATTTTCTCGCAGTATAATTTCTTAAGATATTATAATAGATGTTTGATCTGTAGTTTAGCCGTGTGTAGAGCTCCCTATCGTTCTGTATTTTCTGAGGTTAACGCAGCATGGAGCGAAGATTGTACAAATTATGATCGAACTTTTGTCTGTCTTCATTTCATTTATCATTTTGCAAATAAGGTGTTATGCATCCTCAGTTGATGTTTGACTGCCCTCTTAGTGTATTCGCCCTTTCAACCGATTTTCTAATTTTGTCAAAATCGAAATTATAGTCATTTTTCAAAAAGAAAATAACTGCATATTTATTAAACCAATACTTCTGGATTCGAGAATTTAGAATATTTATTCTTTATGGATGCAACAACAAAATTAAACTGTAAGTATTTATCTAAGATGATTTCAACAAGGTTCAATTATTTAACACATCTGTTAGCCACAATAGGAGGCATAACCATTGCAAATACATGTAGTGTCTTTATATGGTCTGTTATTCTATATTCAAAACTCTTTGGAAATAATTCACCATATTGGTACTCAAATGTTTTGCGTACCATTGTCCGAGCTAAATTCCATTTGACAAGAGACAAAAATATACCCTTTAAAGATACAAACAGACTGGTTGCAATGATTATGAATACTGTCAATAACAAGCGATTCGAACCCGTGACAGTTTCTTCTAAAGACGAGAAAACGTACTTTTTAATATGATTTGTCAATTACTATATAAAAATTTCAACCAAAGTTCAAATGAAGTTGATGTCAGCAATTATAAGCAACCGTACGACCTTCAACGTTGGGAAAAATCGGTACAGTATGGTCGGCTAAAAAAGGCCCCAGGGACTGGCACATAAAGAATGTGGCGGGGTTAAACATGTTTGTGAGCGCTCAACCCCTCCCCCCTTAACCTGGGACAGCGGTGTAACAGTACAATATAAAAAAACAAACAATAAAAATCAGTTGAAAAAGGTTTAACTCATCAGATTGAGACAAATATTGATTGATTGATTGTTGGTGTTTAACGCCACTTTTGGGCTATTTCGTGGTGTCCAGTTTTTATTGTTGGAGGAAGCCAGATTGCCCGGAGAAAACCACCGATCTTCGATATGGAAACTGACAACCCTAGTCAATTTAGACTGGAGTTGAGTGTACCCACACGAGCGGGGTTCGAACTCACAACCTCATACCACTCGGCCACCGAAGCCCCTAATGAATACAAATAGAAATATTTATTACAAAACACAGGGTGGACAGGTACTTATACATCCCAAAAACAAAACGACACTTTATATATTGTAACCCAAGAATTTCGATCACAGAAGTGTGCAAGAAAATTTTTCCCTCAAGTATATGCAATAAAAATGCCCGACATGCCTTCAAACGCGCATTACAAATTTACGATGTAATAATCACTCCTCCCACATTTTTTCCGAGGAGGCCTGATTCTGTAATATGAGAAGTGAATAGTTAAAATGGTATAATGTTTGATTGCCTCAAATGATACTGTAATGTATTTGCTTTCGTTTAAATACAGAACTTTGATCAGTTCTACCGATAACATTGCAGGTTCTTGGAGTTTGATTACCCCTCCCCAAACATTATTATACATGTTAATCAATCATCAAACATTTGAAAGAAGGGTATTATTATCAATTTTGTTTTAATTTACGCTGCAGAATCAATCATAGATTTGTGTTTTATCGAAATACAATAAATTACTCATTCATTGAAACCATCACATTATACGTTAATGTAAATGTATTAAGTGCTAAAAAAGTGAAAAGGTCCAAATTTGGGATAATTTGAACATTCTAAAAATCTAGTATTATCCGTTTGTTTTGTTCTGTTTTTCCAGAAATTGCTTACAACAATCTGGAATGCTTTGAATATAAATAACAATGTGAAAACTAAAACAAATAAAAACTAAGTCTTATTGCAAAGCATTCTCGGTCAGGCTTAAGGTTACCCAGTTTTGCTCAAATTTGCATGGAGAAGTTGCGGTGTTTCCCTTTTAGATAAGATTTTGTTGGACATAAAACAATATTATCTCAAAGGCTCATAAGACGCTGAGTGCATATGTTCACTGACGACATGTATTATTTGGGGGTTCACATCAGCATTTTGAGTTCACACGGATGATAATGACATTATTTGATAAATAGACAAATTCTGAATTAGAATTTGTCCATTTATCAAAGTCTGTATCTGCAGAAATCATTTTGAGAAATCTAGACTGCATAGAAAAAAAAATTTAAAAGCAGTAAAAGAAATTAGTAAAAAATTATTGTTCAGTTGTGTGAATAGATCGCTAGGGTTCGTGCACATTATGTCAAATACTTTTTTCAACTAACTGAATACAAGTCATTAGTTTTGGAGTTTACATAAACACGGGAAATGACAAAAAATGAAAACATTTGAAAAACCGAAATTGTCTTTCTTTCCAAATCTGTGGCTACAAAATATCTTAGAACAATCTAGAGTTTTAATTATGCATGTATTTGTTATGACCTACAAATTGTTTAGATATGTGATTTTAACCGTTCATTTGTCAAGTATGTGTGTTTTTAGTCAAATTTGTAAGGATTAGCAGTAATATTTCCCATTGTCGAAATTTTTGTACAAGAAAATGACAGATCTCTAGAATTCACAAGATGTCAAATACATAGTTCCATGCATGATATACAAATCTTTTCGAGACAACATACATTTCTTTTATTTCAAATGAATAAAATCGATGAATTTTGAGAAGGTCTCTAGAATCTTTTAATCTTTTCAGTCAGTGTTTGAAATGCATACATGTAGTTTTCAGTTGACATATGTTTGGGTAAGGGAAATATTATCAATTTTTCAAGGTTTTGCCCCATTAAAATTATTCAGTTATGGTGTTCATCAAAATGATTTAGGTGTTCTATAGAACATGTAGAATGTTGACCATTAAATTAATAATAAGAAATACTTTGTGGTAAAAAAAGATGCAAAATAAGATAAAAAATTGGAAATCTACAATCTGAAAATTTTCCATCTTTTTTTTATTCTTACTGCAGAAACTGCTCCAAACAGACCAAATGTATTCGGTTAAACAATCGCTATCAGAATGCATCAAGTTTTTAATTAGTATCTATGTTTTACGTACTTGGTAACAACGAATACATGTTTGTTTCAGTGTTTTTATCAATGTTTCATGAAGTGGGTGTATATATTTCAATTGTGAGAAGAATTGTGAAAACCGGATAATGTTTAGAAAACTAATATCATGTGCTTTCATTTGATACCACACTTGAATATGTATTGCACTCTTGTATATTGGTAGACATCGTCAAGTTTATAGTGTTGTATCCAGAAGCCTTATGTCGGCCATCTTTAATTTGGTGGCCATATAAATTTTTGTCGTGGCTCTATATCCACAAAATGTTCAATAGCATCATGACTAACACTGTGTAAAGTTACATGTTTTTACCATAAAGTGATCAGTTAAGCTAATATATTGGACTTTACTTCTTGACTAATAAGTCATTTCAACCGTCTTGTCGGCTGTTGAATAGAGAATTTGGACCAAACTAGGAAGAATTTTTGAAAGATCCTTTACAAAAATTCCTTTTGTCATTTATAAACGAAGTAATTTTTTAACTGGCAGTTGTCGATTTTCAAAGTTCTTCTCTAAAACTACAGAGTTAGTTCTTCAAAGAAACCTTGACTGAGATCCATTATTCAAAGTTTTCATTTCATGCTTATTGTGTAGCATTCCTGTTTAGACAAAAAAGTTTCACTTTTAATAAAAGGACAGGAATGGTAAAATGGAGGCTACCATGTAATTTAACTATTTCTTAAACGTTGACTTTGAAACACAAAGCATTGTTTTTGTTTGATTGATCTTCCTATCGATTTCAGTGAACATCTTACATGTCTAGGTTGTCGCATATTTTCTATACGTACATAAAATATTAATATAAGGTATTACCTTCTTCTTCCTCGAATTTTAGGATATATGCATTTTCGTCTACTTTTTCCATACTAATGACGTCAGCATTAGCACCTCTTCTGGACTCAAAGTAAAGTGACAAAGTTTCAGCAGGCACTTTTTTTGTGTCAAAACCGCTAACATGAACTGCGAAGGAATTTGCGTCACTTTCTGCTTCCTTAATTTCAGGATGTGAATCATCAAAGGCATCTGGCAAATGAGCTTCAACCTCAATAACTTTTCCTTGAAAAAGCAAAGGAGTTTTCTTGAGCACTCGCTCGACAACTGAAAATATAATTCAATAAGACGTTTCTTAATCATTTAAGAATTACTGTCTAGCTTTACGTAAATGGAAATAAACCTGTTGTGTTATTAACTAAGTAGAACTACTATTATGTTAACAATATATATGAACATTTTTACTAATCGAGTAATGTTTTTTATCTGTCAGATTGTGTCTCAGTACTGTATACTGGCCAGGTGAATAATGAAGTAAATAAAGACTACTGTATAAAGTCGGTATAATTACACGTGAAGTGAGTAATAGGAACCATACATAACAATCGTAACAAAGCGGGTTAAGAAAAAAGATCCACTAAAATATTTTGTAATTGTATCGGAAAAAAACCCAAACGCGATATACTAGAGAAGAAGGTATGATAAGGCCACTTTTTGTCCCTTTGAATTTAAAACCAAAACGTATTATGATTCTACCAATATTCTGACCTGGTAATAATTATAAATAACTAAATCGGTCAAAGACAGGACAACAATGAATAATCTGTCCTACAAAATGAAAAACTATGCAGGAAAAAATTTTGGACCGCAAAATAAATGAACATTTCATTCGAAAGTAATCCTCCTGCGACAACCTCTAGAAAAACAAATGGTCTTCCGCTTATCCAAAACTACATTTTGCAACAAGACGTATTTTACAAATAAATTAAAAATAACTTTTTAGACGAACCATTGGCTTACAATTACTTTGTCAAAACACTAAAATAGCTAATTAAATCAAATGTATGTCAATTTCAACATTTTAATGACATCATTATGACATCACATGTGACATTTCTACACTAGAGTGTCAATAGTATATTACCTGTACATTTATCAACACAATTTACAATATCTGGAAGGCTTGATTGAATTTGACATATTTGAAATATCAGGGACCAAATAATACTTCTTATCATATCTCTTTGTTGATTGATTGATTGTTAGCTGAACGTCCAGTGTAAAAGCATCTTCGCTAGCCAAGGGTTACGATCCACTTCCCTCCTCTCCACCCTTGGCGAATTGAGACAGAATTTCGGAGACACAAGGTAATGATTTTCATTGGTTGCAGTCGAAACTCGCTGCATCCAATCAGAAAGCGCCTATAACATGATCACGTGTAAATGTAGAAAGTGTATGTAAACAATTGCCACGTGCTTATTGTGCAACAAGTCTTTACATGCATAAACATACGACTATATTTAGTGACAATTTGAATGTTTTTAATCAACTAATAGAAGTTCCTGTGTATGTTTCTTGCACAAATGCATGAATGTCAACGTATATTTTCGTTTCCTGCTTTACCAAGTGTGTAGAATCTAGACGCTACCGTGTTTTTACCTCCAAATTGAAGAGTTCAAGAGCTACCATTGGTCAAGAATAATGTATTCGGAATGGGCGTTACTTTAATCTACCGATAGATGGCGCAACATTGTTATCACAAATGTTGGCTTAATCTGCCAAGGGTAGAGAGGAGGGAAGTGGATCGTAACCCTTGGCTAGCAAAGATGGTGTAAAAGCGATTTAGACAGTTATTTTCATTTGCCAGCACTTGGTCAATACTACGGATGGTGGGCTGTTAGTCCCCGAGGGTATCATCAACTCAGTAGTCAGTGATTTTGTGCTTACATGATTTTTAACAAACTTCTTCACGGGTTGAGAACTTATAAATCCTTGGCTTTCAACAGCGCTTCGGACGCATGAAATTAATAAAGCATTATTTTCGTTTCGTACCAGTCACAGAAGGCGCCTTTAACGTCTCTTTGTTTCATTTAGTCGCCAACCCATTTCTGTTTTTTTTTGGGTCAATAAGAATCAAATAAATATGTACGAGAATTCAATTTAAAAAATTAAAATTTCAGCATATAAATGGTTAATAATCTCTGTTAATGTGCCTTGGATGAACAGATATGTCTTATTTATTTGAAACCAATGAAAGTATAATATCAGAAATAATTCTGATATAGTTTTCGAGAGGTAGGTACATAGAAGAAAATTCAATCTGTTAATAATGAAAAAAGTTTATATTCCGATTCTTAAAATGTTTGAATTTATCAAATTACGGTCCTATTTTATTCAACATTATCTTTTTCGAAACATTATCTATTTATAAATAGCTTTTACCATCATCTTCCTCAAAAGTGACTATCGCAGTGTGATTGTTTTCGTCATAGTCTACTTCTTTTACATCGCCACCTCCTGATTTCCTTGTGTTTTCAAAGAAGAACGTTAAAGCATCTTCTGTTGCCTCTAATGGAATTTTCGACACTCGTAGCATTTTAGACATTGTTGTATCTGTTGTAGATAAAATTTGACAATTGTATATATATATATTTTTTTCTTCTTTTAATTGACAAAAACACTGTCTAAACAAACTTATCATAGATACCAGGATTAAAATTTGAGCCTGAAGAAAATATATGAAATCTCCTTTTCCTTTGGAAACTGATTAAATCGTCTCAATATTATAATTTTTCTCACATTAGTGATTACATTATTTTGTTCAAGAATTGAAATGTACGCCAGTTGCCTCCACTAAATTTTTTTCTAAATAAAAGTAATGGTTTTTGAAAAAAAATCTTAATTGTGTGAGTAATCTGATAGAATAAGCAACCATGAAAGTCTTTATAGACCATGTACTTATTATTTAGACACCTAAGTTATGTTCTTGGATATCTTAAATGACAAAATGTCTGATTGATTCTCAAATGAAAGATTAGATAATATAGATTTTTTTCAAATATTTATGTTATCACAATAAAAAGGAATTTGCATTTATTTATATTATTTTGATGTCATCTAGGAAGTTGTACTAAAAGATTTTTAAAAATGCAAGTAGAACAATTATTTTATCTATCATTCTTCTTAAACTTCATTTTTAAAAGTTTTAAGGAATTTCCGTAGTGTTATTATAGCGATATAGGTCAAGGATTTTTCTATCAAATCGCACCATCAACACAATGTTGTAAACTTGTCCGATCAATATCAAGAAAGATACTGCAACACATATTTGTATTTGTTAGGTTTCGGATAAAATTTCCCTTCACGTTGATTTAATTTGTTCTGTGTCACAGCACATAATGCATCTAGTTTCCACAATTATCGGAATCATTTAAATATATTTAACAACATTATTTCATCTACTTGTATTCATTTATGAATTTTAATTACTGAATTATCAGATATCATCGACATCGAGTACATGTCAGTCTGATGGAGACTGCATTAAGAAAAGTCTGTGAATAAGGTCGGCTGCCAGTCTTCTAAAACATAATTATGATAATATCGACGGTGTTTTATACAAAGATTCAATTATCTTTTACAAGTTTACTACAAAATCATTCAACATTAAAAAGTAAAATAACAAAAATACCGACTCCAAGAAAAATTCAAAACAGAAAGTCCTTTATCAAATGGCAATATCAAAAGCTCAAACACATCAAACGAAATGAAAACAACTGTCATATTCCTGACTTGGTACAGGCATTTCTTTATGAAGAAAATGACACTAGCACTCTTTTTTTAACAACATAATTAAATATTTATTTCAATTTCTGGCTAGTTACAATATCCTTCAGGAGTCCAAGTTCCTGATGTTTCCTGTTACATTTCACTAATCACTCAGGGCAGTAATTAGTTGTAAAATTCATATTATATCAAATATATATTCAATAATATCACTCATTGTTCAAATATTTTCTTATGGTCACTACAATATCATTTTGAATTTTCTCATTTACTCTTCTATTGAATTCATTTTAAAAAATTGAAAAAACATTGACATTGAAACCGAATAAAAGTTTCTTTGTAGGTAGAATATGTGTTGTAATTTCCACCTCAAAGTTTTAAGTTTATTTTCTTTCAATTATTTGAATAAAAATGCATATTAATTGTTTTGATAAAACACATTATCTATATAAAGTATACGCAGCCATTTTTGTTGCCCAATAGCTGTATCTTTTTTTGTTTTTATCTATCAGAGACTTATATACAATTTTGTTTGATAGCGATATAATTTTATAGGTAAACTTTTCCATATAAATTGGTTTCTTTTTATATTAACAATACTGTTTATAGAATTTTCCGACTTTAAGATGGCTGCCTAATCTTTTGCTCTTGATTTCTTTACTAAATTAATTTCAGCTATCCAGTTTGATTTATTTTTTAGTTTATTCAAAATTACTTCTTGTGAAACACAGCATTTTCATCTATGACACTTGCACTCTTACTGTCATTTTAACTGAAAAGCATTTATTTCGCTCATTCATCCTCGCAGTATTTTTCAATAATTTTATTACTAGTATGAGTTTCCTGGAAACATACTATTGAATATTCTTACTCCTACTCCAATCAAATACAACTGCACCCTTTTTGGAATTTGATAATTTACCCCTTACATTCATAGATAATATCGTTACACTATTATCCATGATTATGAGTGAACATAATGTAATATCTTGTACACCATATAAGCAAATTAATAAGTACAAATATGCAATAATAACAAATTTACCATACATAAACATACACACATACAAACATAAGATGTGGCTTATGTTTTTGTCATTCAACATTGAACATATAAAATAATTTACAGTATGGTATATAATAATTATGAAAAAATCTAGCAAAGGTCTTGAAAAATGAGATTAGATTAAGTATTTAGTTTAATGTATAATGACAGTTTAATTTCTATTTCATTAAAAAGTTATTAAACGTTATATTTCTTAGACTCTCCACACTATTTATATGTTATAGATAATGCATATTGTAAGGTTTTTCTTGTCGTATAACACACCGAGGGGTGTCAGGATTGATCAAATGAAAGACCGACAGTAGGGAGTTCTTTCTTTGGGCAATCCTGATACCCCGAGGTGTGTTATACTACAAGAAAAACCTTAAAATATGCATTATCTGACTTATATACCGTAAAAATATTATTTTCTGCAAAGATTTGCAGGATTTGCATCCCATTTAATCGACTAAAGTAGGATATTCTTT